TTTGGACCCAGAAGAGAAAGGATTGAGGAGAGACCACCAACTTTGATTGCTGGTGGCTCATCAGACAGCTGCTTTTTCCTTTACTCAATTCTTGCAAGTCTTTGCAGTACTAATTCAGCAAAAAGGCTGAGCTTCAAATGTTTTGGCATTTCTGGGATATTCTGTTAATGACTGAAAAATACTTCTACAAAGCATGAGAACAAAACTAAATGTATTCCAAAAAGAAAGATGAGTTACCTGCTGCAAGCTGCTCCTGATTTCTGCTCTTGAAGAGGGATAGGAAACCCAGGTTGATAAAAGAGTTCCAGAGTACCATCATGACATAAGACAAAGGTCCTTCAGAAGAAAAGGAATAATCTCCCCCCCTTAAAGCAGAGCCTATACTTTTGCATAAATAATTGTTTTGAAACTCTCTGCCAAAACTCCCATTTAGCTATGATTACCTCCCACAGTACTTCTGCTGATTTCAGTACTCATTTTCAGTTCTTGTTTATTTATGCTCACTGATCTACACTTTCTTTCCTTGCTGCTTTCAACCTCATGCTTTAATTTAGAGACATCAGGCACAGGGAATCATTAAGCATCCCTCTCCACATCTGCTGGACTGCATGTTTTAAACCAGCATAGATTAAAGGAGCACTGTACCAAAAGAAAGTACACTGCAGATCGGGATAACACCCAATTGGGCAAACACAGTTTTCTCCAGCTTCCATATAGGCAAATGTCAATACTGAACTAAGCCTCATGAGCAAAGGTTCATTGAGAGGAACTCATAAATGTAAATAGTACCATGGAACTGAGGTGCTTTTCTACTTGAAACAATATTAAGCCTCATGAGCAAAGGTTCATTGGGAGGAAGTCATAAATGTAAATAGTACCATGGACCTGAGGTGCTTTTCTACTTGAAACAATAGCATCATTACTGTACACCGACAGTACAGTAACATGAACGACTGTTGCAGTAATTACAGGGAGCTGGGCTGGGATGGCAGGGAGAAGACTTATCAGGGCTGTCCCTGCATAACTGGAACTTGTGATTAATAGCTTAAATGCTGATATTCACATATGTAGTTGGTCATCTTTTTCTGTGGACAAAACCAAATATGCAGCACATGCTAATTTGAAAAAAAAAAAGAAAAGAAAGAAAGAAAGAATGAGGCAATTGCAAACTTAGCTCAAGAAACACAGCCATGGAGGCAAAGTTGGACCTTTCTCCACATCCTAGCATGATCTCCAGCATAGCTGAAAGCACAGACCATACCAAACAGCTCTGGAAGTAGCTACCTCTGCCGGGACAACTGAGTCCTGACAGCACTTATACCTGGCAGAGATGCACCACAGCCCAAACTACACTAAGTCCTGCAATGATGCTGAAAGTTCAGTCAAAAAAGCAACCACTCATAGCTGTTATTTTCAAAACCCAAGTAAATCAACACTAATGGCTCCATTCCTTACAGTATTTGTGGTGGCATGCTCACAAAGGCAAGGCAAACACTTTCAACTCAGCCCAGGGTGTGCACTACATCATCTTCCCCACTGATCCATTCATTCTTGCCTGCCATTAGTTCTGCCACATGTCCAGATAGAGCTGAACACAGGACTTGGATGATATAAAAATGCAGCTTAGCATACAACTTACAAACCTGCTCACAAAATACATTCCTGATTTACAGGCAAGGTGCTGGGACATGGAGACATTTTGTCCTCACCTAAATGAATTGTGCACAGGGCATTAAAAAATAATTTAAGAAATCAAATAAACAGGTAGAAGGTAGTACCAGAGCATCAACCTGAAGTCTATTTCAAGTACATGACATAGCCCAATAATTAGGTTGCAGTTTATGATCTCTCTTTTTAAGAATTTCACAAGTTTTTCAAACAGGTGTATGGGTAAGGATGAGACACAACCAGGCAGGGGTTTCCTGTAAAACAGGTGCCAAGATCAGTGGCAAATTCTGTAAGACTCTCAAGTCACTCCAGAGACAAGTGTCATCATGTATGGCACTAATGCCCCACCATCGTTTCCCAAGTGAAATGAACTCTTCCCTCTCACCTCCAGACAACCAACACCATGTGGTATATTCAGGTATCACTCCCTTACCCTGATAGAAACATAACCACTGTTCAAGATATGGGACCCCAACAGCTACTTGCCTTGAATCCCCACCAAAACAGAGACCCCAGATATCCACAGGGTGAAGCGTTCAGCCAACTAACAGAAACCCTGACCATCCTGTGGACATTGGGACACTCATTCTTGCAACAAACAACACAAAAAGTACCATCACCAGGGTGGCAACTCCTGGACAAAACCCAAGCCTTAATTCTGTTGAGGAGGTCCTAAATTTCAAATTATTTCAGCTAAAAGGACCACCTACTGCCTCCACCTGAGCAGTCCTTTTTGTGAGTGGGGGGTTGATCCTGTGTTACTACAGAGCCAAGATGTTGCCTATCTTTTATCAGATCTGCAGGGCTGCAACATTAGTGTAGACACGTGAATCAAGCCTTAAGAAATGCTGCTGTTTCAAGCCAGCCAGAACTTTTTATTTGTTGACAGGATCAGTGCCATCTGTTTTGCTGGCTGACACTGCTTTCTCCAGAACACTTCAGCTGTCACTTTATATTTTGCCTGTTCACAAAAGCTTGTCTCCCATTTCTATTTTAAACTTTCACTTTTATGCAATGCTTTCAGACATCTTCCAGAAAAAAAATCCCATGGGACCTCTTAGAGTTTATTCCTACAACGATAATTTCAGTAGTAATTGAGCCATGACTTTCAGCTTAGAGCACTGCACTCATAGCTGGGTTTTGTTTTTGTTTTTTTGTTTGTTTTTTTAAAACGGAACATAAAAAGAAAAGGCAACTAAAATATTGTGACTGAACTGACTAGTGGCCTGCTTCATACTGTAAAAATGAATTTGAATGAACTTGCCTTTTGAATAACAAATGTTATTTCTCAGGCTGCTTTTCATGTTTCATTTCAACTGAAAATTTAAACTAGACATGGTATTTGCCTTTTCTGACTGCCACACACTAATATTCCATCATATGACTGCAAGGAAATGTAAACAACCTACAGGTTTTAGAATGACTTCCATTAGTTTCATTGAAGTTTGAGGCTAATAGAAGACCAATATAAACGGCAAAATATGTGCTCAATTTCTGGATATGTTATTTATTACCACTTACCAACAAAAACTTCTAACCCCACCCTTTGGGAGAGCATCTGGTTGCACCACCCTATCTGCTGATACCAACTTTAAACTTATCTTTATACTCAAGAGCAAGTATGAAACATGCCCCATAGGCACCTTAAAACATGACCACAGGCAACACTGAAAGATCAGTGAGGGGTACACAAGAACAAAGAAAAGCTCAGGCAGAGAAATCCAAACTTAAGCTAGATGTGTGCTGCCTCCCTACAGGGTGGAGAGGTGAGAGCAGCCTTCTCCTTCTCAGAAGCAGGTTTGATGAGCACAGCCACAAAACAGCACTCAGGCTCATGACAGGGCAGGCAGAAATCGAAGACAAAAAGCTCAGAATAGAACAATGCAAGCTGTAAAGCATGAATTAAATGGGAACTGTGAAAGTGCTAAAAACATGCAGCTTGTCTAAGCAAAAGCAAATAATGCAGAAGACTTCCAGATATTTCTGGAAAGCTTAAAAAAAGAGGGGGAGAGACTAGCCAGAGTATTTCCACAAGTGACAGGTCTAAATTATGAGGTAGAGGATGAAATTTAAAAAGGAAACAACACTGTCTGAAAGCCCTGGAAAAACTTCCTGACCTTGAGGTATTATTGGCCGTGGTACATCCCCTGTGGTGAAGGGAACTGCATGCCTGGAGTGGCCAGTAGAGAGCCTGCTGGAGGGAACTGACACTCCCTAGCTTGAGGAGGACAACTTCATCTTGCAGGCCCTTTCCATTTCTGTACTTAAAATCTTATTATAGTGCTATTCTATTTTGGAAACATATGCTGATATATATTTGCTGTATAGCTGAAAGCAATTAAGTATATGACTGTCTAGGAGAAATAATTAATTCCTAGGACAATCACAGAGAGAATATTCTACAGTACTAAAACTGTCAGTCAGCAAACAAAACAAAACAACATGACTGCTTTAAAATTACATGCTTGACAGATGTCTTATATATTATTCTATACAATAATAGATGAAAATTGCAGCCTTCTTCCATTCTGTTCCTTTGCTGAGAAAGGATTCTTTTTACTTTCCCAAATTAAATAACAGAAGGTAGAGGAACAGTTGAATTAATACTGTTCTTTTAAACAACAGACAACCCAAGTACAAGCCCTATATCAATTTTTTATTAATAAAATTATCTTCACGTTGGTCGGGTCTTTTCACATAAACATACTGTATTTTGCTTGCCAAGCATACCTTGGAACACAGTACTGTTAAAGGGAAATGATGGTGAAACAAATTTTTTTTTCCATATTTATCAAGTCAATTTACTTATAGACAGTACTTCATAAAATAACCTCCATCAATGTTAGCCATATATTTTGAAGATCAAGGGGAACAGAGCACACAGCTAGCTAAGATAATTGAATTACCTTTGTCTTTTCACCAATAACATTTCTCTCCAGCTCAGCTATTTTTCTGTTTAGATGATCCAATATTTCCTTCTCTTTCAGCAGCTCTGTTGTTTCAGATTTCTGTTCCCCATCCAAAAGGGCACATTCCATATCCAACTAGGAACACAAAACATCTTTCAGAAGCAGTCCAGATTCAGAAGAAATCTTGATACACATTATTTTCTGAGGGAAGGGGAGTGAGTTGGTGATTATTCACAAAAGAGAAATATTTTTTAAAAAGGGAAGGGGAAAAAACCCATAAGTTTTACTGCCACAAAAGTTAAAAAGATCACAAATCTGAGGAAAAAGTAAAACTGCAACATAAAATACTGCAAAATAAAGTCCAAACCAACTTTAGCTTGAAGATTCTTTTTTGCCAAAACTTTTTTCTTTTCTATCTCTTCTCTGAGCTTCCTCCTGTTAGGATACTGTACTGTCTCTGTGCTCAGGCTCTGTGGGAAACCCTTCTGGAACAGCTGTTTCTTTCCTGTTGCTGATAATTGGAGCAAGCACAACCCAAATGCCTGGGCAGCTTAGTTTGCAACTGTGAGATTCCAGAAGCCAAGAGGGTGCCAACATACCCTTGCCACTGTAAAGCCAAGGAGGTTTGAAAGGAAGTTGTCTCACTTCCTTTCTCTTTAAACAGTCACAGGAGATACCACTATAAAGCTCCCAAGTGACATTAGGTATTTGGATCAATTGAGTGACCATTAAACAAGTAAAATTGTTCTAATTCCATTTAGGAGTGTAATGGTTACAGCTGGGAAAGGCTAATCTGAGCATCATAACCATCCCCCAGCTGCAGAAAAATGACCTTCAGGAGACTGCCAGGTCTGTGATTCTGTGCCTAATCCTGGTGCAAAAGCACACAATATGAAGGCTACAAACACCCATGAGTTCCCTATGTACTTGCTGAACCCATCAGACTTATGCTATGCAGGCATACATAACAAGCAAGACATTTCAAACCAAAACTATTTCATACCTCTCTTGAGGATTCATCCATCTGGTCATTTAAATCTTTGATCTTCTGCTCAAGTTCTTCCAAGTTATTTAGTATTACTATGCGCTCCTCCTCCAGTCGACCAAGCTCCTGCCTCCTTTGCTCATCACTGGTGCATTCTGGTATCTGCAATTGCACATCACAAGAAGGTCATTAGAAAAAGAGTTAAATACCATCTTTTTTTCCCCCTTTCACAGAGTTTTCTTTTCAGACAAGTATGGTACTGCTGGTTTTGAACCTGTTACATATTTCCTATCTACTATATTGCTATTTCTATATTTAGAAGATGTACAAGAGAAACAAACATGATACTTTACTTCCAGGCATTGGAAGTAAATACTATACTTAACAGCAAATACTATTCATTCTAAAGGAATTACTAAAACTGAACCTTTGAGAATACTTTACATGCTGTGCTATTTAGATTGCAAAAATCCCATTTTTCCCTTATAAAAATAACACAGGTAAATTAAGATGCTTTTTATGCAGACTTCAGCTGTTCATATCATGAAAGCCCAGGAACTAGGATAGGAGATTCTTGTAACCTGCCATTAAGAAGGGCAGCTTCTGTAAAATAAGGACAAAAGTTGGTTCTGTCTCCCCATTTAGCACTGAGGAAGTGGTACCCTTAACATTCCTCTTTCCATAGCCATTTACTTACCACATAACTGTGCCAAGAATTAAACAACATTAAGAAGAAAATACCTGTGATCTTGCACCAGCAAATGTTAAATCAAACAGTATTGAGTTTCAAATGCATTCATCATGTTCATCTGACCCCTCACTTGGGTAAGGCTGCTCGTTCATTGTCCCCAGTCAGAATTAGAAGTGGGCTGGGTGCAGGGCTTCATGGTAACTATTGGACCACACAGCCTTGCTCAAAAGAGGCTTAGCTCAGCTACTGAATGGCTATTCTGAGAGCAGGAGGTTTATCTTGAACAAATCTGATCTTGATCTTTTAAAACAATGAGCTGCATTTCATTAAACACAGTTGTTTGCTACTGCTTTTCTCAGGGCTTAGTGAAACACCCTTTACAATGAATGAACAAATGGTATTCCTTGATTTAGCAATAGTAATCCTAGCAGGAAAGTCTCTTTTTGACCAGTCTCCTGTTTGGATAATGCTGACATAAACATCTTTGATTTCAACTTCCTAATAAGGATTTAAAATAGGATCTCTGACTTGTACGAAGAAAGCAACAAATGGGAAAGAAATGCAAGACTACAGAAAGTTGTAGGTGAAATGGAAAGACCAAGGACAGCCATAATAGCATGTTTCTGTTCAACACCATTTCACACCAGAAGACTCAGCAGACAGATTTCCAGAGAAATAACCCTTTATAGGACAAAATGTTTCTCTATCACACCTCTCTCTTCTTCTACATATACACACTGCTAAGTTGTAACTTAAGCAGAGGTTAAACACAATTCCTGTTAGGCATATAACCATGCTGAATATCATACAGTGTGTAAATGTAAAAAGAGGAGATGCAAAGTATTTTGAAGGTGTGAATTTGTTAAACAGAAACACACTTTTATGGCTTTGCTTGGTCTTATTATGCTCCTGATTCTGAGTCTTGAATACAATTATTTCACACACTGCCTGTCACCAGGATTTGCTGCACTGCTGCTCTGGCACAGCAGAGCCTAGGCACTGACCCAAGGAAATAAAAGGCTCCTACCCCAGCCTGCAGGAGGCTGCTGCTGCCCTGGAAAGGAAATGGCTAGGAGTGCTGTTAGCTCATTTTTTAACGGATAATTTCCCTCCAGTAATGAAACAGCAGTGTGAAGCACACAGGAAAGGAGGTGCAGCTTATAAAATACAGGAGTTGGTTTAGAGGGGTAGGAGGTTGGCCGCCACCACAAGCCCTGCAAGAGGCAACAGCTGATCCAACAAGTGGCTCAGGTCCAACATCAGGAGGGAGACAGGGCAGTAAATTCAGCTCAGGCAACTCCTCTGCACCTCCCATGCAAGTGTTCTGGTTTGACCACGAGAAAATATACTCCTCTTACAAAAGACAGGAGCCTAAGGTTGGAAGAAAACAGTAGAGCTTCCCTTCCCTCCTGCATCCCAGCATGATGCTAAGCAGGGTTCTCGAAACCTTCCTGTTTTAAGTAGCAGTAATTGTTCAAGTAAATCCTTCTCCCTTGGAAAATATTAAAACTCTTCCTAAACTGTACATCCCTCTGGAAAAAAACCCAAACTTTCAGTACCATTAGCTTCCACGAAATATGAAATAATAATTTGCTGGCTGCTACATTTTGCTGGCTGTATTTTCTGTATTTGCTGGCTTACAGAACTGTTATTGAGTTCTGAGATTAATCCTCATAACTAAGACAACCTAATCATGGCCCCAGCCAGGACAGCCAAATCCTAGGGGACGATTTCATGCAGCAAAGCCTGGATTATACTGTCTCCTCCTACAGAGCATACGGAACATTACCTTTGGTGTGATGCTTAGGTAGGATGACTCGGTGGCATCCTTCAGGAAGCCTGAAGCAGCAAAAGTTAGAGGCTTCATGGTTTCATTGAAGTGCTCATCAGCTCTCAACCCTCTGGAGGGAAGGTAAGCAGCAGTGCCACGGCTGTGGTTGCTCAGCTCCGAGAAATCCGAATCACTGGCAGATGATTTCAAGTGGCTTCTGAACCTCGTTTCTAGATTCATTTGGGAGTCTTCAAACACTGAATCCTCATCAGAGAGCTGAAGTTTCTCGAGTTCTTTGTTAATTTTTTGAACATCAGCAACTGTGGTGGTTGCAGCAGGGTCGCCGTCCGATTTGGAGTATTCTGCACACAGATTGAGGATTGTCTCCAGTCGCTGTCGTTCCTAGTTTAAAAAAAGATAAGAGCACTGAGTGTCAGATGTGAGCTAAAGTAAAGATGAAGTTAAAAAAAGTTTGCTGTTTTTTTGTTCTGTCTGGGATTGTTTTGGGGGGTTGAGGTTTTTAGGTTTGGTTTCTTTTTGAAGGATTAAAGTCCATGTATGTCTCTACTACTTAGATATAATAAACATATACATAAATTACAGTGCAAGATAGAAAAGTGAAATTTAACATGGAAAAACTTAAAATATTAGAATTTTCTACATCAGAAAGACAAGTAAGTATTAGGACACCTTAGTTAAGTAGCTATTCATTTCTGTGAAATGTACTTTGAATTTTTTTGTTCAGGTTGCTTTCTCCACACCCCATTTGTGTGTACACATGTCCAGTGATCTCACTGTGTAAATCACTAATTGTTCCACTTCACACTTACGCTATACTACCGAGCTGCAAAATATTGCACAGATTTTCCATGAACTCACTCATTCCTGATTTTCTGGATTAACTGTGATTCTCTTTTATGAGAGAGAATTAGTCCACATTTTGAAACACACAGTTTTAGGAGCATTAACAGAAACAAGAGGCATCATATCTAAAATACAACAGCTATCAAATGCACAGAAGTGGGGGAAATCTTTATTTACCAGTTTACTCAAATTTCGTATGGATTCATACTAACATTTCAAACTTAAGACACTGAATAGCTATACCAGTTTGACTTGACATGCTTCAGGTTGCTATAAACATTTAATTCCTGAAAGATTTCACGATCTCTACAATACTTTTTATAAACTATCAGAAAGCTATATTTGTTTTATTTTATTGTATGCACAGCTTCCTGTAACTTCTATTTCAGATGAAATTTTTTACCCTTTCATTTTTAACAGGCAATGCTTTTATGTAATTTCATGTTACTTTTGCTAAAGCAAAAAAAAGTCAATAGAAAATTGCTTACCATAAGCCTATTGAAAATTTTGCTGGAAAAAGAGACCACTGTGAGAGTTCCATGCTTGGCATTAATACCTATACTAATGATCTCATTTCTGATTTCTAGGAAATCCTTCCTACTTTTAGTAGTATTTAAAAAGAAAGTGAAAAAAACCAAAATGCTTGGCCTCCTTCCTCCGGAACCACTGAAAATATTCACTTTCCAAGCTCTACCTGGCATTACATTTGCAAATAGGACTTGCAAAAGCAACTGCTTCTGACAGCCCTAACACTCCTTATGCCTAACATCAAGTGGTAACAAGGATCAAGCAAAGTAGTTGGGTCAACCCTTTGCCTGCCCTTTCTCTGCAGGAATCCATTGGACTGCTTTCATTGCATGAAAATTTAGCACTGGTTTACAAGCACCCAGCTCTTCATACAGCTACCAAGAGATGAACTGTTTACACACACCACACGTTCACATCACCCCACATCACCTGCAGTTACGAGCTGTCTCCGAGCTGGAGAACCCATCTGAACCCACCCATTACCATGCAACACAAAACAAGAGAGAGCTGTGAGAGAGAAATTTTGCCTTTGGGTAGCTTATTTCCAGGATCCCACTGCAGGTTTCCTCTGAAGCCTCTTGTAACAGCACCAGCAGAGATGAGCTGCTGAAATACCGAAGCCTGGGGCAGCAATTGCAAGCTTCTAGTTTCCACGAAATAGGTT